TTCTTTTAATTGAAAACAAATATTTTTATTTAATTTTATTCTTTAAGACATTATTGATAAATATTTACTTTAACGCTGACATACGACTTTGAATTATGACACTCGTAAAGAATACATATTTCTTAAAGTTGCCAGACAATTAACTCGTGTAACAGGAAGACACAATAGTGTATCTTGGCCAGAAGTACTGACACATGGATGACGTGATGAACAGGCGTGGCTCGGAGCCTCCTCCGTCACGCACGCACGCACCTGCGCGCGCATGAGCCACCTCCCTTGCCATATATGGCCTCCTTTACGTAGTTCCGCATATTAAATTAATGATATACATACATAAATAAACACGGATGTATAAACATGTGCTCTCGCGTACCGGAAGAGAAGCAATAATAATATAATTACTGTGTAATGAGAGATGACATGACGGGTCCGTGCCAGCAAGGGACACCACCCAGGGAACACACCTGTTGGCTTCTGGTGTTGACGGATTCGCTCTGACCGGCGGGTCTTATCGCTCACTGAGCCTCAGAGATAAGAAAGGTATACACTCCACTACCAGGGACAAACTCATTCTGGCTACCTCCAGACGACTCTTTGCCAACCGTGCCACGCCTTTAGTACGAATGGTGAGCGTAAAATCTCACGCTCGCTACAATCATATATGTGTACACACATACACACAAAAGGATTGTTCCTGACGCGAGCCTTGACGCTTATCTATATCTCGGTTCATCTTTACCTCGTCACTCTGCCTCTCTGTGATCCACCAAACCAGTGCATAATTTACACACACACACACACACACACAACTCTGCTTCATTCATAAAAACCGTGGACACTGTCATGCGGAGGTGGCAGAAGGAACACTGCCCAGCTGATAGCCAGACACCACCCAAAATAACCCAGGTAACCACCCACTCCAGTCAGCTGTTGTGTATCTTACCTGAACCTACTTTTAGATCCTCACTCAAAGATGGGGAAGGGTTCAGCGGCTCTCGGACCACGAACTGCATATGGCAACAATTATGTATATTTCCTGGTAAATCTCCGGTGTTGTAGAAACACGTGCGGGAATGATGACAACACTGACTGCCAGGTGTGTTGTGCAGACACGGTGAAACCTGGTTAACACAACACTGGACGGGTCGCCCCACACCACGCATAACACCACCTCAACCCCTAGTCTTTAGAATCGGGAAAAATACACTTTGTACCCAGAATAATAAACTGTATAACGGCCAGTAACCACTACTACCAGAACTATATATATATACGTATATATATATATATATATATATATATATATATATATATATATATATATATATATATATATATATATATATATATATATATATGCATGCATGCAATTGACGATCACAAAACCCTGATCATTGTTTTTTTTATGCGGAAAATCCACAGAGAAATATGAAAGGAAGTGAAACGCTGAAACGTTCACTTCCTTTCATATTTCTCTGTGGATTTTCCGCACACACACACACACATACATATATATATATATATATATATATATATATATATATATATATATATATATATATATATATATATATATATATATATAACTCAAAACTATTCTGGAACTAGTCTAGTTGTATATCTTTGAACCTTCTTCAGCTTCGACTTATCCTTTACAAGGTATAGACTCCATGCTGGAGCTGCATTCTCCAGGATTGGTCTTACATATGTCGTATACAAGGTTCTAAATGATTCCTTACATAAATTTTTAAAGAAAATTCTGATAGCCAGGCTCGCATACACCGCTGATGATATTCTTTTGATGTGGACTTCAGGGGACAGGTTTGGCGTGATATCAACTCCTGATATCACATCCACCCTGATATCCTGGTACACCGGTTTCGTGTGATTTCTAGATACTAGGTGTGGGCACCCGGACACCGCCGGGTACCCTTCCTAGTACATCTATACAAAAAAATGTATCTGTCTGTCCAAAGTTGGGGCCTAGAAGCTTGGGTCTAGTCCCACCCAAATTTGCAGGGGGGATGGTCTGGGGTATGGGACGGTCACTGATTGGTCGTGGGTAGGCTTAAGTTAAATGCTTTAAGAAATATTAGCAAATATTGACACCCCCCCAGCTGATTTTCATGGGGTCAAGTGTGAAATATATGGCGTGATTCCCGTGGGCCTTTTAGTTAACTTAATATATCATATATTACAATATATTAATATCGACTTTAATCTATCCATTTAAGATGGAGAATAGCAAAGAATAATATTAGAGCAGGAAATCAACCTGGAAATAACGAAGCACAGGTCAGAAAACTACCGAGTCTGTGGCAAATGTGTGTTTAACCAGCAGATAACAGAGCCAACTGGGAACGAAAACACACTCGACGTAATCTTGGCAACCAATGAAGAAATCATCAGACACATTACAGTCCCATTTACTACATACACAAGATCATTCAAGTTCAAACTAGCATTAATACTCGTAATACGTCCAAAAGAATTCAGAAGCGAGGATTATTCAATCAATTCAGTTTCAACAATAAGAGAATTGACAGGAAAAATAAGTAAAGAACTAGCAAACATTCGGTGGGAAACAATCTTGAGTAACAAAACTCCCACTAAGAGAACAGAACAATTGACTACTGAAGCATACAAGTCTGCTTGAAACCATGTACCTTTGCAGAGGGTCAGAAAGAGGCCCCCTCAAGAACGATTCTTTTTAAACAAAGCTCCCGAAATGCCAGTATGAGGCTATTATGTTTAACACCCCATCAAACAACATGAAAATTGAAGACCCGAACAACTTCTTTATAAACGATATTCAAACTCCAGACAATGTAACTGAAATTAACACGAACACGAAAGACTTTGAAAGATAAATTGACAACATGCCCATACACTCAACATTTGGTCCTAACTCCTGGAATTCAATATTCATAAATAAATGTAAAGTACCAGCAGTACGAGCGCTCAGTGTAATAGGGAAAAAAAATGCATATACAAGAAATTCCAGAGTACTTAATTCAGGAGATATCGCTCCATTACACAAAGTAGCAAAGCTTTGGCAAAAACTATTGACCAGTTGCACAAATATCACGAAAAAAAAGTTTTTGAGTGATTAGGAATCAAATCTTCAGTTTGATATATAATTTTTTTTTACTTCACAACATGGATTTTGAGAGGGAAGATCCTGTCTTTCACAGTTACTCAACCACTATGACAAAATCACAGAAGCATTATAAGAAAAACAAAATGCAAATGTTGTATACACAGACATTACAAAGGCATTTGATAATTATGACCATGGAGTGACAGCCCATAAAATGAGATTAATAGGAATAATGGGTAAAGTGGGGCGTTGGGATTTTCAACTTCTCAAACAGAATGCAGAGAGCAACAGTCAATCATATAAGATAAAGCCCAAGGCTAATCCTACCCATTTCCTTACCAATTTCCTACCATATTGTTCGCTCCATTGTGTTATTGGCCTTCCCGTATGTTCCATGTATATATTACGTGATACATACTTTATATATTACGTACCCGTCTTGTCTCTTTTTCTATATAATACATTTTGAGGACTTTGAAACGCTCAGTTGTCTTCTCAAACTATCCAGGTGATACATGGCCTATATAATGGAGGACTTTTTTTTTTTTTAAAGCTTTACTGGTACACTTGATTTAGCAGTCTGCTAATCCGGTAAACAAAAGTGGAGCTCCTAAAATGTTTCGAAAGATTAGGTCAGCTGAGGTAACCAGAGAATGATTACCCGGGAGGTTATCGGAGCGGGTTAAACAAATAAGGGGATATATCGCCCTATCTCACACTAGTACAACAAAGATGGCGATCCGTAAACAAGGTGTGGTGGGTGCAGCAAGTGGGGCAACAACTTACCCTTGCCTGGCCCACACACACACACACACACACACAACACACACACACACACACACACACACACACACACACACACACGCACACGCACAGTTGAGACGCACACGCACACGCACACGCACACGCACACACACAACCATCCTCGAAGATGGTAGTCACTGACGGCAGTAACTATTCCTGTTCAAATATTTATTTCATTATCGCGTAACAAAGACTGTAGAGGTCAGGAATCTTTCCTTTATATAATTAAATGGATCTTCTGTTTTCTCCAACCTGTCCCCGAAAACGAAAGTACTTAAAGCGACTATGGATGGAATGTACACAATATGAACTGTTACACTAAAAATAGGCCGTGTTTTATGCAACTGATTTTAAAGAGGACCCGAGAAAGTATAACGTTCCCTTGGTCAGTACAGGCCTACGGGAATTATATATGTACTAAATTACACCTATGATTGCTTACGTCAAGCTTACATTTGCTTATTTAGGGGTAGGCTGATAGGCTGTTTTAGTTTTTGTAATACCTTCGGAATTCTAATACTGTGAAGTGGACGTTTTGGGTACAACAGTCCATCCATATTAGCTCCGATTCTATCATTTTTAGACATTGGGTTTACCTTTTAAATTGAGTTTTCTTCACAAAATTAAAGTCTTTCTTAATTACAGTACACATTTTTTTTTGTATTTTACAGCTAGTGTTGAAATGTTATTTCCCTATTCTATGGTTATACTTGACACCTTCCCCATAGTTGGTAAGTCTCGCATTTTATACCTGCTTTGTTGGGCCGTCGTGTGAGGTGAGGGTATGACGGCCCTCCAGTCTCAACACAAGTTTGAACGTTGACGTCACTCATTACCTGCGTTTGATTACTCTTCATGATGGTTCCAGTTATTGTTCATTATTAACAAGTATATAGCCTACTGTGTTTATTATAAAGTAGCTATTGGTCAAATATACCTAATGTGAGATGTGTTATGGCGAGAAACACGGCATAACTCACAAGCGGAGCTGGCGTTACTCATCCGGAACGTCTTATCGGATGTCACATTTTTTATAATGAAAAATGAGAGCAAGAGATTGGCCCGTACGCCTTGACAACATAAGAGTAGAGGGACTGTGGTATTGGAGCGCGAGGCGGCGTTATCAGCGGGACGTTGAGGGTGGAAGCGGCGACGGGGGTCCGTCAGTACTGCGCTCCGTCCCAGTCAGCTCACAGCTCCAGCAGCACACGGTGCCCGTCCACCACGCCCCTCACCCTGGTGTAGTAACTAACTCAAGGTAATGTGACCGCATGGTAGCCTCCGCATCTCCGTCCACCTTGCAGCCACCGGTTAATGGTTCATAACACACGCCCGCCCCCAGTGATTCCTTACCGCCTTATTTTGACCTTCCTGACAAATATTGTTCGAGTGGCAAATACATGCAAAGGTTCATAATGTGTGCAGCTGTGCAATATGGCGTTTATGGCAGTGGGAATCAAAGTTACATGACTTCAGCCAACAGTGGAGCAAAGGACAGCACCCTTTATACATGCCAAACGCAAATATAGCCTTCAGCTTTACCCAAGAACAATGATCTGGCCTCAGTTGAAACTACATGTCGAAACCCGCCCTCTTCACATCACGTCTTCACGCCACATTCCACCTCAATCTCATTTGCCGAAATCAAAAGGCTATCAAAGCATTCCTAGCTCCTTGGTATTTCTGACGCAGTAAATGAAAGTGATTTTACATCATAAACAATTTCTGTGAGTGTGGTTGGCTTTTCAGCCAACAGTAAAGCTGATTTCAAGTCCTTAAATTTCGTCTTCGGATATCGCTAGGCTCGCTGAGTAGGGAGGCCGAATATGTGGAGAGGGGCAGGGTAACTGTGATAAGGTAGTGGGGGAGAGATGGTGCAGGGAGAGAGGGATGGCGTGGGGAGAGAGAGGGATGGCGCGGGGAGAGAGAGGGATGGCGCGGGGAGAGAGAGGGATGGCGCGGGGAGAGAGAGGGATGCCGTGAGGAGAGAGAGGGATGGCGCGGGGAGAGAGAGGGATGGCGCGGGGAGAGAGAGGGATGGCGTGAGGAGAGAGAGGGATGGCGCGGGGGGAGAGGGATGGCGTGGGGAGAGAGGGATGGCGTGGGGAGAGAGGGATGGCGTGGGGAGAGAGGGATGGCGTGGGGAGAGAAGGATGGCGTGAGGAGAGAAGGATGGCGTGGGGAGAGAGGGATGGCGTGGGGAGAGAAGGATGGCGTGAGGAGAGGGATGGCGCGGGGAGAGAGAGGGATGGCGTGGGGAGAGAGAGGGATGGCGCGGGGAGAGAGAGGGATGGCTTGGGGAGAGAAGGATGGCGTGGGGAGAGAGGGATGGCGTGGGGAGAGAGGGATGGCGTGGGGAGAGAAGGATGGCGTGAGGAGAGAAGGATGGCGTGAGGAGAGAGAGGGATGGCGTGGGGAGAGAGAGGGATGGCGCGGGGAGAGAAGGTTGGCGTGGGGAGAGAGGGATGGCGTGGGGAGAGAAGGATGGCGTGAGGAGAGAAGGATGGCGTGAGGAGAGAGGGGGATGGCGTGGGGAGAGAGAGGGATGGCGTGGGGAGAGAGAGGGATGGCGTGGGGAGAGAGAAGGATGGCGTGGGGAGAGAGGGATGGCGTGGGGAGAGAGAGATGGCATGGGGAGAGAGAGATGGCGTGGGGAGAGAAGGATGGCGTGGGGAGAGAGGGATGGCGTGGGGAGAGAGAGGGATGGCGTGGGGAGAGGGATGGCGCGGGGAGAGAGAGGGATGGCGTGGGGAGAGAGAGGGATGGCTTGGGGAGAGAGGGATGGCGTGGGGAGAGAGGGATGGCGTGGGGAGAGAGGGATGGCGTGGGGAGAGAGGGATGGCGTGGGGAGAGAAGGATGGCGTGAGGAGAGAAGGATGGCGTGAGGAGAGAGAGGGATGGCGTGGGGAGAGAGAGGGATGGCGCGGGGAGAGAAGGTTGGCGTGGGGAGAGAGGGATGGCGTGGGGAGAGAAGGATGGCGTGAGGAGAGAAGGATGGCGTGAGGAGAGAGAGGGATGGCGTGGGGAGAGAGAGGGATGGCGTGGGGAGAGAGAGGGATGGCGTGGGGAGAGAAGGATGGCGTGGGGAGAGAGGGATGGCGTGGGAAAAGAGAGATGGCGTGGGGAGAGAAGGATGGCGTGGGGAGAGAAGGATGGCGTGGGGAGAGAGGGATGGCGTGGGGAGAGAAGGATGGCGTGGGGAGAGAGGGATGGCGTGGGGAGAGAAGGATGGCGTGGGGAGAGAGGGATGGCGTGGGGAGAGAGGGATGGCGTGGGGAGAGAGGGATGGCGTGGGGAGAGAAGGATGGCGTGGGGAGAGAAGGATGGCGTGGGGAGAGGGATGGCGTGGGGAGAGAGGGATGGCGTGGGGAGAGAAGGATGGCGTGGGGAGATAGGGATGGCGTGGGGAGATAGGGATGGCGTGGGGAGAGAGGGATGGCGTGGGGGAGAGGGATGGCGTGGGGAGAGAGGGATGGCGTGGGGAGAGAGGGATGGCGTGGGGAGAGAGGGATGGCGTGGGGAGAGAGGGATGGCGTGGGGAGAGGGATGGCGTGGGGAGAGAGGGATGGCGTGGGGAGAGAGGGATGGCGTGGGGAGAGATTGATGGCGTGGGGAAAGAGAGGGATGGCGTGGGGAGAGAGAGGGATGGCGTGGGGAGAGAGGGATGGCGAGGGGGAGAGATTGATGGCGTGGGGAGAGAGAGGGATGGCGTGGGGAGAGAGAGGGATCGCGTGGGGAGATAGGGATGGAGTGGGAAGAGAGAGATGGCGTGGGGAGAGAGGGATGGCGTGGGGAGAGAGGGATGGCGTGGGGAAAGAGGGATGGCGTGGGGAGAGAGAGGGATGGCGTGGGGAGAGAGGGATGGCGTGGGGAGAGAGGGATGGCGTGGGGAGAGAGGGATGGCGTGGGGAGAGAGGGATGGCGTGGGAGAGAGAACTTTTGGTACAATGTGAGGACCAGACCACACACCAGAAAATGAAGAAACGACACAGTTTCGGTCCGTCCTGAACCATTATCACGTCTTGTGATATACTTGATAATGGTGCAGGACTTGATTATGCACATCACAAGGCTTGATAATGGTCAATAAGACCGAAACTTCGTCATACATCATTTTCTAATTGTCTGGTCATCATATTTTCTGTCACGTCATTGTGACTCATCGTCTGCTAAATGAAATGTATTATTCGAGAGGAGAAGTTGGGGGGATAGCGTAGTAGGGGATAGTGGAGAATAGTGCGGGATAGGGGAGGATAGCGTAGGGGTTAAGGAAGCATAGAGTGGAGAATAGTGTGGGGGAAAGGCCTGGCCTCGGGCCGGGCTTGGGGAGTAGAACTCTCAGAACCCCATCAAGCAGGTAAGGCAAGACTGTATGATGGACAAATAAAGGATAAAGTTATAAAATAAAAGATAAGCAACATAAATTTTCCAATTATTTAATCTAATCTCGTTGTAAAAGTATCCATCTCTTATTTATTGTTTAAACAAATTATTGTGTTTTGCAAGTCTTCAAGCTTGTCTGGTAAAACTACATTTGTACAAGACTAAAATCCGTCCACGACCATCAATATTGAGAGTGGAATTTTCCAAAAACTACAAATGGTGGAATGGAGAGCAATAGAGTTGGTGGGTTTGTCATGCACAACGTGCCAGGGTAGCTGGCGTTATCAGCCGGTAACTTATCGTGGAATGATAGATATGAGTCAGCCGGTGGGTCACATTGCCCCCTCCACGGCGTCCATTCTCCTACCTTCCACCCACCAACACCACCACCACCACCTCGTTCTCAACCATCACAGGTACTTCTAAATACACCCACAGGGCGCTCCTAACCACAACAACACAAACCCTTTACCTTCCCACCCAAGAAGTAAATTAAAGATCAGCCCACAAACAGTCATACTGATACTCTACTGACATAGAGCTCACTGAGCCCATATACCGGCACACTGTTGGTTCCCTACACCACCCTACTGGTGCTACCGGAAGTGCACGTGTGACACAATGTGCCTCGACCCTTCAGATGGAGCTGTTTGCTGTCCTCTCACTCAAATGTGTGTAGATCTCAAAAATTAATACATTAATTCTAAGTTATTATTTATAATCTTTATGACACATTGCAACATTTTGTGTCTGAAATTAGACACGGATGAACCAATCTTTTTTATGATGGTATCGGAGCCCAATTTATGTACTCACCTAGTTGTGCTTACCCCCGCTGAGCTCTGGTTCTTTGGGCCCGAGGGACCATTTACGTGGATTCCATCTAATGTTACCCTCCACATACATGATAGAACTGATGACGTAGTCAAAGCACAGTCTTGACTATGCCTTCAAAGAAATTGAATATAACCTTGGATTGTTAGTAAGCAGTCTGAGAACAATAACACAAAAATAACTTCAACAAAACTTCATATATTCCAGACGAAGTCAAATCTAAAGTAGCTATTTCATATTATGCTACCACGAGGCTAAGCTGGCACATCTATTGCTAATGCAATAAAACCAAAATACTCATATTATATATATATATATATATATATATATATATATATATATATATATATATATATATATATATATATATATATATATATATATAATCACATTTCGTTCAAGAAAACCCTTACTTTTAACAATACATTTCACCCCTCTGAAGTCGACAGAATGATACATAAACAGGAATGTAAATACAATGCGCTGGAGTGCTGTGCTGTATGAATAGCATGTGAATGTTGTTTTAAACATGAAGAAAGGGATTTACCAGTGTAAACACGTGCACACTCATAACAAAGGATGGAGTACACACAACTTGTTACTGACGAGGGCGAGTTCTTAATTAACATGGATTTAACTGTATCATTATTTTTTAACACTGCCTAATAATAATGGGTTAATATTAAGGTTTTTCAGGGCTGGGGCAAGATTTTCCGCATACTTGGATCAGTGTTTTTGTGATTAGTAGCCAGAATGCACTTCTTGGCCTACTATGCAAGGCCCGATTTGCCTAATAGGCTGAGTGATTTTCTTTATTTTCAATAAATTGTTTCCAGTTGGTTTAGTTTAAATATATTTATTATATTAAGAACAAATTATTGACTTAGTTATGTAAGTTTAGTTTAGGTTAAGATAGGTTAGGTTAGATTAGGTTAAGTTAGGTAGGGTAGGTTGGGTTCGGTCATACATCTCCTTTAGTTGTAACTCAAATTTTAAAAAATTAACTCATACATAACGAAATTGATAGCTTTATCTTTTCATAAGAAAAAAATTTGAGTAAATATAGAAATTCAGGAAAGCTTGGCTTATTAGGCAAATCGGGTCTTGCATAGTAGGCCGAGAAGTGCGTTCTGCACTTCTCGGCAAATATACAGTAATATATATATATATATATATATATATATATATATATATATATATATATATATATATATAGAATTCAAATTTATATTCTGCGTGGCTATCAAAATTTGTATTTTCTCAGATATAAGTTAATATTATTACATACTAGAATGTGTTGAATAGTTAGGTCTACCTTACCTTGAGGTTACCTTGAGGTGCTTCCGGGGCTTAGTGTCCCCGCGGCCCGGTCGTCGACCAGGCCTCCTGGTTGCTAACTTAGGCCTAAGGTCTAAATTAGGTTAGATTCTGTTCTGTTGGCAGTTATTGGTATTTGCAGTATGTGGGTGAAACATTCAAGACAGGTGGCATTCGAACAGAGGACGTGAAAGAAGCATTGTTCGAGAAAATTACGAACATAATCAGTTGTTAGTCGTGTGTAAACCGTTCTTATTCATAAACAGAGGGTTTGGTGACTGGATTAACGAACATTTGACCTTTGTTAATGAGGACTGGTTGTAGTGGAATGTATTATAAAAACATAAAAACCATCACTATTCAAGAACTGTCTATATATTGAATTTAAAATAATATACAGGCGAAATTCTTAGCCAAGTGTAGGGTGTTTGATAGACCAATGATTTCCATTATGTAGTTAGCTTACAGAACATTTGGGTTCCTCTCCTGCATTCATTATGTAATTCTGTAACTTTCTGTCATTGCCCACGGGATTAGTATGGGTACATAATAGATTAATAAATCCACCCATCTTGGGCTTGGAAAACAGCTTCTTGGGTGTGTGAAGTTAAATAAAATGTTGCGAGTTCTCGCTCTCACTTGGTGTTTATTGTTGTGTAAAATGTGGTGTTTCTTCTCCAGATGTCTTGGAACACATACGTAGAGAACCTGGAGAACACCAGTGGTGTGACGAAGGCCGCCATCTATGGTCTGGACGGCTCACCATGGGCTGCTTCACAAGGCTGGACCGCCACCCCTAAGCAAATTCAAGACATAGTGAAGGCCTTTGCAGACCCATCAAGTCTCAGAGCAAGTGGTAAGAAAAACACACACCTTCAGAAACTTCTTGCCTAGTTTTAACCTTTTAATTCTTGATTGTGACATTAACTTTTGATCATGGTACTCGTATATATGGGTGATAAAGATAACTGGTAACAAATTGTATATCAAAACACAATCTGGACGGCCATTCCAGACACAGGTACGAGAACCGACTATACATATTTAAACCATAATCATACATACATTCGAGAAAGAAAGAAAGAAGGAAGGTTTTACCAAGAATTAACCTCAACCTAATAACTAAAATCACTAACACACGTTTCTGGTGTTTACTCCAGTATTACAGCTGCAGGAGAAAATCTACTAGGGCAATGAAGTGGGCATGATCCTACGACCTTGGCATTGCCAGCTGCATACTTTACCACTAGACCATCAAAACTTGTTGGTCTAGGGGCCTCGTAGCCTGGTGGATAGCGCGCAGGACTCGTAATTCTGTGGCGCGGGTTTGATTCCCGCACGAGGCAGAAACAAATGGGCAAAGTTTCTTTCACCCTGAATGCCCCTGTTACCTAGCAGTAAATAGGTACCTGGGAGTTAGTCAGCTGTCACGGGCTGCTTCCTGGGGGTGGAGGCCTGGTCAAGGACCGGGCCGCGGGGACACTAAAAAGCCCCGAAATCATCTCGAGATAACCTCAAGATAGTGGTAGAGTAAATGCAACTCTGCTTAGTGACAACGACTGTCATACTATGGCTGGCATGCACGCACACAGCATCACAGACTGTAGTTTCAAAGCGTTATTTGACAAAGGGTATGGGGAAGACTGGACAGCATAAGCGTAGTTTTTATCCTGTTACTACACTTATTTAATTACATTAGTTGTGGAAGGCACATCTATCCACAATTGTAATGCCAGATTCGACAAAGAATTCGAACTTCAGAATAGGTAAATTATAACGCAACAGGTACAACAAGGAACGTAGCCCGGGGATAAAGAGCTAACCTCACTTCCCGGTAATCACTGATAGGTCAATACACACATACACGTGGTTGAAAACAGTGACATACTATCACTCACCATCACTAACATTCAGCTAACGTCTGGTATAGTGTTGCATGTATAGTAACTGTATCAGTGTTCCATTCCTTGTTACCGAATTTGTGTATGGTAGGTGTATTTCTCCCTCATGTATCTAAGACAAGATAGTGATCCCTGATGTATCTAAAACAAGATAGTGATCCCTGATGTATCTAAGACAAGATAGTGATCCCTGATGTATCTAAGACAAGATAGTGATCCCTGATGTATCTAAGACAAGATAGTGATCCCTGATGCATCTAAGACAAGATAGTGATCCCAGATGTATCTAAGACAAGATAGTGATCCCTGATGTATCTAAGACAAGATAGTGATCCCTGATGTATCTAAGACAAGATAGTGATCCCTGATGTATCTAAGACAAGATAGTGATCCCTGATGCATCTAAGACAAGATAGTGATCCCAGATGTATCTAAGACAAGATAGTGATCCCTGATGTATCTAAGACAAGATAGTGATCCCTGATGCATCTAAGACAAGATAGTGATCCCATGTATCTAAGACAAGATAGTGATCCCTGATGTATCTAAGACAAGATAGTGATCCCTGATGTATCTAAGACAAGATAGTGATCCCTGATGTATCTAAGACAAGATAGTGATCCCTGATGTATCTAAGACAAGATAGTGATCCCTGATGTATCTAAGACAAGATAGTGATCCCTGATGTATCTAAGACAAGATAGTGATCCCTGATGCATCTAAGACAAGATAGTGATCCCAGATGTATCTAAGACAAGATAGTGATCCCTGATGTATCTAAGACAAGATAGTGATCCCTGATGCATCTAAGACAAGATAGTGATCCCAGATGTATCTAAGACAAGATAGTGATCCCTGATGTATCTAAGACAAGATAGTGATCCCTGATGTATCTAAGACAAGATAGTGATCCCTGATGTATCTAAGACAAGATAGTGATCCCAGATGTATCTAAGACAAGATAGTGATCCCTGATATATCTAAGACAAGATAGTGATCCCTGATGTATCTAAGACAAGATAGTGATCCCTGATGTATCTAAGACAAGATAGTGATCACTGATGTTACAAGTCCTCGCCCGTGTTATTTACCTACCGCATATTTTGTAAACTATCATACCTCTCCATGTATGACACTGAATTAGTACAAATTCAAGCCAACGAAAACAATTATATATTTAATTAATTAGTGTCTGGCATGTGCTCCTCACCCATATGCCAGACACTATAACTGTTCCTGCTCCTCACCCACATGCTAGATGACTATTCCTGGTTCTCACCCATATGCCAGACACCACAACTATTCTTGTTTCTAACTCGACATACTGTTGTGATCTGTCCAACACTACAAGCTAAAGCCTCAAGACTGCAACATGACGTGTCAGAATTTTATTACACATGTACAAGTACATTTTCACTGTGTAACAATGTCACTTAGTGGAAAACATATTTAATATTACTTTATATACCCAGTATATACAGTGTATCTGTTATCCAATTAGCACACCAGCCATTAACTGGCCCAAAAAAGACGTTTAAGTTAAACAATACTAACAAATGTGACTGGTTAGGCCATTGATACTCAGAGATGAAACAGTTTAGGTCACCGATACTTACACATACACGTAAGTCAGTTCAGAACTCCCATATTCACAAAGAGGCAGTTTAGAACATTGATACATCCAAATGAAAGTTCATGTCTCCAAAACTCACAAGTAAGAGGTTTAGGTCACCAACACTCACAAATGAGACAGGTTAGTTCTCAGATGTTCTCACATGTAAATACTGTATAGCAACTACACCAGTGATCAGAAATGTTTATTTACAGATGCAAGTTAACATTAAGTGCAATTGTATTCCAACAAATTTATTACTATACTGCACTGCACTCCATATTATGTCTGAATTTTATAATTATAGCACAGAATTCCTGTCATTTTTATTACTCTTAAAAAGACACACACAACGCTAAACAAAATTTGTGTTCCTTGGTAGTGTTATTTCCTAATTGCTTATGCCTCCAAAATATAAAAAAATGGCTATTATTCTCCACAAATTTTGCTTTTGTGACTGCTGGATGCCTTGAACTATAATGAGTATGACTGGTAAGTCTTCAGAGACTTCAAAATGGTAGTATACCCGATGTGGTCTTCAATGTGGCATTACCAAGGTACCCTGGTATCTTTATCTTTGGAAAAACAGGGTCACAACGGGTCACTACTACTGGTGGGACAGGCCACAAAAAACTCAGCTCTCTGTGGGGAAGAACAGAGTGAAGTGGGAGCAATTGGTAGACCTCCAAAAGGTGCTTATGACATTACTGCATATCAAATTTGGTCTTATAAAACAATTTGTCCCAACTCTAGATAAGGAGTTGGCAGCCTAGAGGTACTTTCTTCCCAAAAAACTTCTCCAAAATTGTCTGAAGCAAAGGTCAAAGCCTGTGTGTTCACCAGACTGCAGATAAAGAAGATCCCCAAGAAGCTCACTAGGAAGGAGATCGAGGCTTGGATCTAATGGTTCAAGGCTTCCAGGGGCCCAAAACCACGTGGAGCTTGTTTAGACTCTCGTGAAGAACTACAGCACAATGGGCTGCAGGCTGTCCCTAAAAATTCATATTCTTCATCTCATCTTGATAAATTCTAGAACATTGGAGTGTACTTGGAGCAAGCAAGTGCTTCCACCTTCTATCATTCAACTTTACTTTGAATGCTGTTACCAAGGACAGTATGATGAGAACATGATGAGAGACTACAATTAGGGGATGTTTTATGAAAGAAATTTAAAGCATAACCATAAATCTTGAAAAACTACTCACTTCTAAATCTTTATGGTTACTGTTGCATAACTTTAGAATAAATACATGTTAATAATGATTCATATGTTGCTTTTTCCTGACCCTAAGTGAACGAAAAGATACAAATTTGTCTTATTTTCTCATCGGAAATAGTTGTCAAAATATGACTGTTCTGATCACAGAGTAAAGTCTGAAGAGGATAATATACATTTTCTACACATTTTAAGCATAAGCAATTAATAATGAATACTACCCAGGAACAACAATTGTGATACAATGTGATCAGATAATAATAATAATGAAATACTGTAACCAAAATGAATAAATCACATGATAAAACTAAATCCACCAAAAGTGATAAACCAAAAATAATTATGATAAAGAAAAACTAGATTTGATATTATAATGATAAGTAGTACTGTTGTCAATGTGATTAGCTACTGTTAACGATGGTGATTTGAGGCAGCCATATACTGTACTGTATTAATGAATAAAGAGGTCGACCACAACATTTGTAGTAGCCACAGAATAACAAAGTTGACCACAGGATGACGCAGCATAATCAACGGTGTTGTTTAATGCTTGACACACGTAAATACTGTAGATATTAAAAATTTTCAATGCATGGCACATTCAAGCAAATGTTTCGTGCTCTACGCAAGACGATCAAGTCAATACAGTACTGTATATCATTTCAGGAAATACTCGGTATAGTGTGTGCAACAGCTAAGTTACCTATGAAGTAATGTACTGTATTTACTACAGTCATAATAGCTCTCAGCTAAAAATTGTATTACTATTTGTTTGCAAACTGGTACAATCTATTTAGTCATGTAATGCAGTTGCCACACAGAATCACCCAGTTAGTCAAGCTAATTAAGCTGCTACGTTATACAACCCAATTGTTAATGACCAGGTGATGGGGTGAGTCCCCTCTTCTCCTATATCTAGCCCCCCCCCATTGCATTATTTTTTAACAGAGGATTTCAGTTTTATTTCACCTTTCCCTTTATATCAACAATACTAAGCCAATTACACTTGCAAATAATCAATTGTTTTTTTAGAATCTAGCATGTACAGGTACTTTGCTAAGAGTGTGACTCAGTGACCTTCCTTTTGGCTATGGGAAACATCAATAAGCATATCATATTTTCTGTAC